GAAAAACTGGAATTTTATTTTTGTCAGTGTATTGTTTTATGAGAAAGCCATAGCAGGGACTTGATAAACTCATGAAGCCTCTGAAATTACGAGCAGAATTTTGTTTTTTGTTTTTGTTTTTGTTTTTTTTTTTTCAGCAAATTATGGGTGTACAGATGTTTAGGTTGCGTGTGTTGCCCTTGGTTCCCCACCCACCGAAGTCCGTGTTTCAAATATGTCCATTTCCGGTAGTGCGCATTGCACTCCTTGTGTATTCAAATACCTGTCCCCTCCTCCCTCCTCCTCCCTCCTCCCGCCGCCCTCCCCCTTCCCCAGCATCCACTAGATGTTGTTCTGATATGTGCATTTATGTGTTGATTAGTTAATACCAATTTGATGGTGAGTACAAATGGGTCCCTGCTGCTCTTGTGGTGCTCCACTTTGGATAATGGGCTTAAGTTTAATCCAGGAAAGTGTAAGAGGTGCTAGATCACTGTCGTTTCTTATGATTGAGTAATATTCCATTGTGAACATATACCAAATTTTGATAATCCACTCATGGATTGACGGGCACTTGGGTTGTTTCCACATTCTTGCAATAGTGAATTGTGCTGCCATAAACATTCGGGTGCAGAATGAGTGAAACTTTCCTAGGAATAGACAATGAGCTTTAATCAGATTCCCAAAGTAGTTCATGTGCCCTTCCATTTCCAGGGGTTAAAAATATTTCTTAGGTTAGTCCAGACTTTCTGTTTCTACTAAAATCACTACCACACAGCAATATTGTTAAATACATACAGTGGGAAAAGTCGCTTCTTTTTTCTCTCAATTGTGTCTTCTATCGTGAATTCTATAGTATTAATTTTGGTACATTTGTCTGTGTGTGTGTGTGTGTGTGTGTGTGTGTGTGTGTGTTTAAATTGTGTCAGACCTCCTTAGGAAAGAGATAAAGTAAAAATTAAATTAAACTGTCAATTCTTACATTATCATTATCCTGGTAACCCAGACTTGAAAATTCGGTCTCAGTCAATTGCAAAGTGACACAGCCTCTGTCTTTGGGATGTCTCCCATATCTGTCCCCTTTCTTCATTTCTACCATCATTCCTTAGTTCAAATCCTAATCCTCTCTGATGTGGAGAACATCCCAGTAGGTGTCCCTGCTGACAGCTCTCTCCCTTCCCTTCATCCACACACCCCACCAGACTAATTCCCTGAAAGCTGAGCACTGGTCAAGTCATTCCACTGCTCAGATGCTTGGTGGGTCCACGCTCACACTGAACCACTTATTAGATCTCCCTGGCATTCAAAGCTCTTCACAACCAGTTTGTCTCCCACAGATCTCTTTCATGTTTACTCGCTCTTACCCAGAAGGATGCTCATGGTCACCGAACAGGGTCTGGGCTCTTCTGACTCAACTTCTTGCTCAATTGTTCTGTCTACCTAAAACACTCTTCTCTAATCCATTCTTCACTTTTGGGGGCTCTTTCCATCTTCCAATGGCCATCTCAGTTCATGTCAAAGCTGCCTACTCCCTACAGTATACAGACCAAACTTCTTATAATGGGATATTAAGCCCTCCATTACCTAGCCCAGACATTCACTTCTAGTTATGCTTCTCTTCACTTACTCACAAGCAGTACTACCTTTAGATCCAAACAAAAGAGACTATGCCTTAGCCCCATTCTTTAGGGCTATTCTGGGCTTCTTTCTACTGCATTGCATTTCATGCGGCAAAGGAATGTGCCCACCCACAGTCCACCCCTTCTAGACCATCTTCCAGGTAACAGGACCCTAAAGTTCCTTGCCCAAACAGCTCCCAGCTTATTCCCAGAGTCTATAAGTGCCTCTTTCCCAAACCACCGTTATAAGGAACCACACTGCTTATGCTCTCACACCCAGGTCTAAGGGTAGCCGAGGGATGGCTGTTTGCAGTGGTGTGAATGGAGTTTATACACATGGGCTGGAGACAAGTCCTCCTTATGCCACTGCTTTCCAGCCTGGAACCCCAAGGATCCCAAGAATTCTGCCTTCCAGCTCATTATAAAGTTATAGTTATTGAGGAAGGATGATAAAACATATTTTATTAACTTCTTATCTTGATTTTTAACTTTTTAATATTTAGGCACATTATACGTGGGCCTTCATTTATTATTCTTGCCCTGCCCTGCCAATGCCAGGCACAGGCCTGCTCCTTGGGAGCCTGCTTTCTAAGCACATCAAATATTTGCAGATCTTTAAAGCCTGGTCTTTCTCAAACCTCAGTAACTTTGTTCAGCCTATGCTGTCTATAGTGCCTGAGAGTCTCCTTGCACTGAAACATCCTTCAAGAGGTTGAAAGGTAAAAATTGCCACCATTGTCACTATTTTTTAGCACTGCTCTGGAAATACTAGCCGATCCAAGTAGAGAAGAGAAAGGAACAAAAAATACTATATAGAAATGAGGGATGAAATTCATATTCTTTCATATTTTATGAATATATATTTGAAAACCCAAGGGAATCAACTAGCAAACTATTTTTAAATGATAAGAAACTATGGTAAGGAACATAATTATAAAATTAATTTACAAAAATAAATAGCTTTCTTATATGTCAACAATATTTAAATAGACCAAAAAACATGGGGAAAAAAGATTTAATTTACAATAGTTACAAAAAGATAAAATGCCTGTGCTTAGAATTTAAAGAAATAGGTACAATGTATACCTGTAAAGTTTAAAGAAAACTTTAAAACTCTATTTAGGGCTGGGTGTGGTGGCTCACGCCTATAATCCTAGCACTCTGGGAGGCCGAGGTGGGCGGATCATTTGAACTCAGGAGTTTGAGACCAGCCTGAGCAAGAGCGAGACCCCGTCTCTACTAAAAAAAATAGAAAGAAATTAGCTAGACTAAAAATCTATATAGAAAAAATTAGCTGGGCATGCCTGTAGTCCCAGCTACTTGGGAGGCTGAGGCAGAAGGATTGCTTGATCCCAGTAGTTTGAGGTTGCTGTCAGCTAGGCTGATGCCACAGCACTCACTCTAGCCTGGGCAACAAAGCGAGACTCTGTCTCAAAAAAAAAAAAACTCTATTTAGGAAAGTCTTTAATAAATGAAATATATACCTTAGTTATAAAAAAGAAGATTCAATTGTAAAGATGTCAGTTATCCCCCAAATTACTGTATCAATTAAATGCAATAGCATTATAAGTACAAACAGAATTATTTCTGTTTTTTGGAACTTGATAAAATAATGTTAATATTCATCTGGAAAAACATATATGTGAGAATGGCCAGAAAAACTTTCACCAGATATTAAAATGAATTATATAGCTATTGTATTTAAACATTTGGTCCTGGTTCTAGAAAAGACTGCAAAAAAAAAAAATCAGAAATGGACTCAAGTACTTAAGGATGTTTTTGTATATGATAAAGTCGGAGTTTTAAATCAACAGAATCATCAGGAAAATGACTTCATCAACAAGCTGCATTTGGACACCTGGCTAGCCATTTGGAGAAATAAAAACACAGTCATGCACACATAACAATCTTCTGATCAATGATGGACCACATATACGATGGTGGTCCCATAAGATTATAATGTCATATTTTTGCTGTATCTTTTCTATGTTTATATATGTTTAGACACACAAATACTTACCACTGTGTTATAATAGCCTACAGTATTCAGTGCAGTAACATGCAGCACAGGTTTGTAGCCTAGGAGAAATATGCCATATAGCCTAGATATGTAGTAGGCTGGACCATCTAGGTTTGTGTAAGTGCTCTCTGTGATCACACAACATCGCCTAACGACGCATTTCTTAGAATGTATTCCTGTCTTTAAGTAACACGTGACTGTAGTTGATCATCTCATTCCTTACATCAAAATTAAATTCCAGTTAGAGCAAAGTTCGTAATGTAAAAATGAAATCCAGTAAATCCGTAGAATAAAACAAGAGATCATTTTAAAAATGATTTTAAATTGAACATATCAACATAACCATATATAACCATATCACAAAGATCAGAATTCAAAAAGGAAAAGCTTGATAAATTTTACATCAAACAATTTAAAACTTGCTTCATAGCACAAAAAAAATTATCACACCAATATTAAGGGACAGTAATAAACTGAAAAATAATTTGCAATAAAAAGCTCCCTATAAATAAAATGTTTAGAAAATCAACAACATAATAGAAAAGTTAACAAAGGAAATGAACTGACAGTTCACAGGGAAAAAAACATGCAAATACTTATCTGGGAAATGCTTAATCTTACTCATAAAAACACATGAATTAAAACAATGTGAGTTACCAATGTTCACCATCACAGTGGCAAAGGTTTAAAATTGAATAAAATTTTGGAATAGCAGTGTGGGAAAATCAGTATTCTTACACAATATTGTTGGAAGTGAGTGTAACATGGTGAAACTTACTTGGAGGTCAGTTTATCAATCACCATCAAAAAAAGAAAGATGAATATATATGAAAAATGAATGTCCATATTTTGACCCAAACGTCACTTCTAGTAGTTTATCCTTTATCCTCAGGTCTTAGGGATATTTATTCCAGCTTTATCTGAAACAGAAGAAAAAGAAACAAAAAGTGTAAACATGTAAACGTCCATTAAGAGGGAACTCATTCGTAAATTGCAATATCTCTCCTTCTTGCAGCAGTGGAGAGAACAAAATGTCAAGAGGCAATCGTACCACAGTGACAGAATTCGTCCTCATGGGGTTCACAGACAGGCCTGAGCTGCAGCTCCCCCTCTTTGTGGTGTTCTTGGTGATTTATCTCACCACCCTGGTGGGAAACCTTGGCATGATCCTGCTCATCAAAGCAGACTCTCGGCTCCACACCCCCATGTACTATTTCCTCAGTCACCTGGCATTCATTGATCTTTGCTACTCATCTTCCATTGGGCCCAAGATGCTGCAGAATTTATTGATGAAGAAAAAAACCATCTCTTTCTCGGGCTGTTTTGCTCAGCTGTACTTCTCCAGTGCTTTTGCCACTACTGAATGCTTCCTATTGGCCACAATGGCCTATGACCGCTACATGGCTATCTGCAACCCCCTGATTTACACAGCCATTATGACGCAGCGGGTCTGCAATGAGTTGGTGGTAGGGGTCTATACCTATGGCTTCCTGAACTCTGTGATACAGACAGTTCTGACTTTCCAGCTGTCTTTCTGCGACTCCAACGTCATCCACCACTTCTACTGTGCTGACCCCCCTCTCCTCGCCCTCTCCTGCTCTGACACCCACAACAAAGAAAAGGAGCTCTTGATATTCTCTGCGGTGAACCTCACTGGATCCCTCATGACTGTCGTCATCTCCTACATCTGCATCCTTTTCTCCATCTTAAGAATCCAGTCTTCCGAGGGCAAGTGCAAAGCATTTTCCACCTGCGCCTCCCACCTCACTGTTGTCACCATCTTCTACGGAACACTGTTTTTCATGTACCTGCGGCAACCTACAGCAGGGAATTCATGGAAGAACAACAAAGTGGTCTCTGTGTTTTATAGTCTTGTAATTCCCATGCTTAACCCTCTGATCTACAGCCTGAGGAACACAGAAGTAAAGGACACCCTGAAAAAAATGCTGGAGGGCAAAGAGTCATGGTGAGCAAATTATCAGAATGCAGCATTATGCAAATTTGATACACCAACACCATGTAACAAATCTGATTGAAATTTAGCAGGTCAATTGCTATCCAATCAGGAAGCACGATTAACTTAATTTGGGTATTTTACGGCCAAAAGTAGGGGCCACTTGCTTAATATAGCAATATTTAATGCAATCAATTATCTTGGACTAGTCAGGATTGATTTACAAGGATGTCCATAACTATGTCCTTCATATATTGAAAATGAAGTGGCTTACTACCAATTAGATAATAACATGAGCCATAAATTTAAAAAGATCCTAAAGAGAAATATTCTGGGTGACAGTATAAATTAATGAAGCTGAGTACAAAACTCACACGTGTTTTGAAATGAAAATCTGTTATTAGAAACACTTTCCAGCTTAAAACAAGCTGTATTCTAGCAAGTCGTTTGTTAGTGTTAGAACTTGATTCTTCCTCACACCTTGCTACAGCGATTAAGTTTCAAGACCAGTTTTTGATTAAACCTTATTTAATCCAAATGTAGTTGAAATACTGCATGCTTTAAATAAACAATAGAAAAAATAGTATTGCAGCAATAGTAAGGGGGAAAAAAAGCACAAAAAACTGTGATTCAGCTAAATGTGGGGTTTGTTTAGAAAAGAAAGTTTAATTAGAAGACACAAAGAGAAGGTTTAGGGTACCTTCAGAGATGTTAAAAGTAGTCATTTATTCAACACCCAGGGTTTAATTTTTGTAGTCTCTGAAAAGTGGAGTTACAGTGATATTTTGGGGACCTGGGGGTGAATAGAGAGAAAAAGGAATGAAAGAGGGAGAGCTTCCTGAGGTTACCAAGCCAGGGTATGAATGTTTCTAAGAAACAAAATTATCTTAAATAATTTGAATGATCTAGAGAAACACTTTAGTTTTGCAACATTTCTATGTTCTGTATTTTTTGTCTTCACAGATCCAATATTCCAATTTCTTAGAGACAAATCTCTGTAAGTTCTTACTATTGGTGCGGATAGGTGAAAGAAATATCTTTCTAATTTTTTTTTTAATTTAGTCAAGAATATGAGTGCTCTATGGTTTTTTCAAGCCTCAATTCTAACACTTCTTTTAAAATAATTCTTAAGGCAAATGAATCTGCCACAAACCATTAGCTTTTCCTCCTAAACTGTTATGTTTTTTTTTTTTTTGAGACAAAGTCTCACTCTGTTGCCCTGGCTAGATTGAGTGCCATGGCGTCAGCCTAGCTCACAGCAACCTCAAACTCCTGGGCTCAAGTGATCCTCCTGCCCCAGCCTCCCGAGTAGCTGGGACTACAGGCATGCGCCACCATGCCTGGCTAATTTTTTCTATATATTTTTAGTTGGCCGATTAATTTCTTTCTAATTTTAGTAGAGGCAGGGTCTTGCTCTTGCTCAGGCTGGTCTCGAACTCCTGAGCTCAGACAATCCACCCACCTCGGCCTCCCAGAGAGCTAGAATTACAGGCGTGAGCCACCGCGCCCGGCCTAAACTGTTTTTAAATGTGATTAGTATAATGTGATTTTTTTAATGGTTAAGAAAATATATCACCAATTAATTACAAGTAAGCATAAAATTAGCCAAGAAACTAAGGGGTCCCTGTTATCCCCAAATTAACTCTCCAGATAATAGTTGCATTTCTGTCTTATTGTTGCTTATGATCAAATAATTTAGGAAAATAAAGATGGTTAAACATTTACAACGTCCCTTACTTAGTTCAGAAAGCCTTTCTGGAGTTGAGTTATACCTTGTATTCTAATCATTTGAGAACAGAGTGTTGTCTGTGGTTGAAAAGGAAGGTGCCAGCAGGCTAAAGGGACAGAGTGATGAAAGATAGGAAGCAAGCCAGGGAGGCAGGAGAGGTTGCACAGGTGATGAGACAGAGGGACGTAGGCAAAGTGCACAGGACAATGCTGAACTGTAATACAAGACTGGGTATTAGACCACGAGCTCCTTGAGACCCAGCAGATTATCTTCTTCACTTTGCACTCCAGTACCTACCACAGTACCTGGCGCAAAACAAAGAGATCATAACTGTTTGCTGAACTGAATTGAACTCTTCTGTACTTATTCCTAACTCCAGTGTACAGGTGGACATGGTGCCCAGTAATGGTCCTGTGGTTGGGAAGTGACAGAGAGAAGGAAGTCACTGGGATTATGACAGGAAGACTGTTTTTCAATATGTACCCCCCCACACTCCCCAGTGAGGCTATCACCCATAATACAGGAAGACATACAAAGGTGACAATGTAAACTGGCCAGGGAAGATGCGTTTAGGAAGTCGGTACATTGGGAATATGATAATAACTGGAGCTGTTGATGGACACGACAGGTAAGGGACGACTGCTGTAGAGAGAGGTTGCTGCCAACTGAGATAAAGGTGAGCAGCTTCCAACACTTAGAAAGAAAATGTGCTTTCACTCAAAAGCCACACCTATTTCTTAAATTCTTCTCTCAAACTATTTCCATATCAGTTTAATTTAAAAAGACAAAAAAAATCCCACTAAGTAGATAGCACATGTGTTAATACATGCTTCTCAGCAAGCTAATTATAGTCCTGTTTTCAAAGGAGTATTTCATCTAAAAGTTTCATCAGTTCTTCAGTTCTTATCAGAGAAACCTGAAGAAAATATGTCATGAGACCTCTCCATAATCCAGCTGTTGAATGTGTGAACTTTACTCAACATGCTCCCTTGCTTCGCTTGTAAAACAAAGCATAAAATCGAGGATATCGTATTCATAAATTGTGAAGGACATGAATCTGTATTTTACTAAATTTCCCAAAGACTTGAAAAGCAAAGAGTTAGCTATAAGGAAGAGTCTGAATCAGCTAATTTTGAGCAAATATTTTCTATTTTCTTTTCCCATTGGCACTCCTTAGCTTTAAAAATTTATCTCCCTGACTCTGGCCTTACAAAGTAAGAAAGGTCTTGGTGAAGAATTCTCCAATTGATTATTTACATTTTTAAAAAATATATAGAGCTCTATACCCATGGATCGTATTTAAATGACAATATTCAAGCTACAAGAGAAACCAACATGGTTATGTGCCTTTGTTTACTTATAAAGTGAGGATGTTTCGATTAATACACATAATAATTATGCTAATTTTAGCACACAATAAATAACTTCTGAATATGTAAATGTTACCAAAATAATGGAAGTTTTACTTTTACCAGAACTCATGCATCATTTCATTAAAACTGAAAATAAAATGCTCTCATATGTAAATAAAATGCAAATTCATTTTCCTCATGGTAATCCTAAAAAATGAATGTTATTTGCCATCATTCACCACTTAGACAATTTTCATTAACAAACCTAATGTGTATCTGAAATATTTGATGTATGTATATACAAATGTGTAATCATTTGCACATAAAATGCTGAATTTTTCAATCAGCATAGATTTAATTTTTTTCTTCCTCGATAATACTCAATAGAGTATTAAACTATTGATTTGTCATGCTTGAAAGCATACCAAAAGGTTTTTTTTTAATATTGATCATAAAAAGAAAACATGAGAGGGAAAATACCATTCTTTTCCATTTTACTTTCACATTATTTGATGTATAAGTATTTCAAAAAAGTAAGCATTTTAAAATCTCAAATCTGTGCCCCCAGATTTTCAATTCTGCCCTGGATGTACAGTTCTAGCATTCTTTGATGAGCAAGGCAGAATCGAAAAGTATTAATTTGGTGCTCAAGAGTGGCTCTGCCAGCCATTAAGTGATGCATTCACCAGAGATAAGGGGCCACTGATGTCAGAACTTGGGGAGTTTAGGCTCCTGGGAAAGTGAGATTTAGCCTGCTCTTCCAACCAGGTTTCTGTAAAAATAAAAACATTTTATAAATTACTAGAACTTTCACCTCTGGTAATATAGAGCAAATTGGAAAAGGGAAAAGATAATCTTTAATTTTTAAAAATCAAAAGTATCTCTTAGGCCTTTGCAGAAGCTTAACCATCCTAATAGAGATGGTTTCCAGGTCTTATTTTGTGGTCTCAAAAAAAAAGAAGTTTTATTTCCACAAGCTTACTTTCTTTGCTTGGGTGTGTTGGCCGCTCTGGCACCTGGACACCCACCCACCCACCAGCCTGCAGTTTCTGCTCCTCATTTCAGGCAATCTATTTGCTGGCCACACTGGGTGTGGTACGAGGAGCCGGGACAGGACTGTGGGCCAGCCAGGCTCAAGGCCCTGCAGCCCACCTGTGGCTCACCCTCCACTAGGGATGCTGCACAACTGCAGGCTGCTGGTATTGGGGCAAGATTAGGGTCCATCTCTGGGTTTCCCATTGAAGCTTTTTATTTTTATCATCTTTCTTCTTAGAGTCACTTTTAACCTTTTCTTCCTTATCATCCCCTGTTTAATCTGAGATCTGTTATCATAAGTAGTATTTGATTAATACCTATCATTTGCCTTAGCAAAACTAGCAATTAGCTTTCCTTAGAATTTAAGGAAATTAATGCAGAGTTGAAATTAATGTTAATTATGATAATGCAACAAATTGAAAGGGAACTCTAATGTTATTCATGTTGGACGGTTGTCATTTTTATGAAGAAAGTTTGAAATATCCTCTTAAAATTTGGGGCTATGTTTTCTTCTTATATTTACCATAAATCACAGATGAGTCCTAAAGTGGCCACAGGCACAAAATAGCAATTCTGTCAGCTTTAATTTAAGAGTACAGTTCTCTGCTCAGCTTTAATTAATTTGTTGTTAAAACACTATCTGCTAAGCTTCTATCTCCTGGCTTATTCATATTTTCCTATACATTAAATTGTTAAATTTATGAAGATTGTGCTATGTGATCACTTCATTAAACCCATAACTAACTCCGGATAATGCCTGTAAGTTCACATTTTAGAAGTGTATAAAGGAGCACGTCAGCAGACACCTGCATATCAAGCAAGCACAATAAATCAAGCTGGGCCTGAAAAATTGTATGGTCTGGGAGGTGAACATTTTTCTAAAAAAAAAAAAAGCAGCCC